TGTTATGGAAGAAATCTCGGAAAGGACAAAAGTGTACAAGAAGCGAATCACTAACCATCCAAATATGCTGGCAGTCAATCTAATGAACACCCAAACAGTTGCTCGTAGACTAAAAAGAAAGATTCCTCAAGACCTTCTCTGAAGCACAAGAGTAAACGGAGCAGTCACTGGACGGCTTCTGTGCAAGCCCTTAGCAATAAAATCTTACACATATTGCTGAATATCTGCAGAATTGATAGATTGCAATAGAAAAAAAAAAAAAAAAAAAAAAAAAAAAAAAAAATCGCATTGCAGAAGCGACCAGCCCCCATGTCGACCTCCTCGGTCGGGGCCTGCGGAGACAGCCAAGAGTGAATAATGGCCGCCTCCTCTAGTAGGTCCCTGTCGAGCTTGGCGACAGCCCACCGCGGGAAGCGGGAAGGGCGCCGCGCCGCGTGACCCCTACTGGGGTCCTGGGACCGGGAGAGCTCGAATCGGATGTACAAATGATCCGAGAGCGTCTCGACCTCTTCCAGGACACACCAGTTCCTTACTCGTGCGGCGACTGCAGGGGTAGCGAACGAAAGGTCCACTATCGACCCCCCCTGCTGTCGCACGCACGTGTTGGTGGAGCCTCTGTTCAGCAAACAGAGGCCCACCGACGCCGCCCACTCCTCGACGGCTTCGCCCCTGGCGTCCGTCGCAGGGGAACCCCACGCAATGGACTTTGCGTTGAAGTCCCCCAGCACGAGGACGTGCCCAGACACTAGTCGCCGCATCGAGGCCTCCAAGTTGTTAAGGAAGACCTCGAAGTCGTTCAAACTCCGGTTGGGGGAGAAATATACACCATAAATGGTGATTCCCCCCCAATCGGCGGCAACATATCCAGTACCCTTGTCTCTTAGCGACAAGGGCGGGGAATGAGCCGCCGTGGAGCCGACGACTGCCACGGAGCCGTCCCGGTCACCCATCCAGTTTGGACGGGGAGGGACAAAATAGGGCTCCGCGACTACGGCAACACCTATCGACCACTGTGCCATGGTTTGCAGGAAGAGATCCTGCGCCGCAGCACAGTGGTTCAGATTCGTCTGGACCAGGAGGTTGGAGACGATCCATTACTGGATCGTCTCTACAACCTCCTCCATGGGCGTCGACGTCGACGCAATATTGACGTCGGGGGTAGCCTGGGTCGGCAGGCTAGCCCCCGGCGTTTGCCGAGAAGCGCGGGGAGGCTTGCAGCCCCCCTGCCCCATCATGTGATTGGCGGGCTTTTTGCCCGCCTCACACACCGGGCAGTGGGGGGCGGCAGAGCACTCTGCCGCCTTGTGCCCGGGTTGACCGCAGCGGAAGCATAATCCGCTGCAGTCAAAACAGCTCTCGCACTTGGTGCGAGTGTGTCCCGCGGCTAGGCACTTGAAGCACCTCATCGGCCTCGCGGCCAGAACCGTGATTCTGGCATTTACGAAGCCGACGAGAATGCTTCCGGCGTCGCCCAGTGCTTTGGCCGACGCCACGGGACAGCTCACCCACACCGCACCGAGGCCTCCCGGACCCGGACGGACGGTGCCGACTCTGATGGTGTCCGCGGTGCATCCAGTCTTCTCCATGACTGCATCGCGGACATCCTCTGACGTGATGGAGTCGTCCAGGCCCGAGATGCGCAGTTCTGCGCATTTGGTGGGCCTGGCGATCTTCACACCGTCCGTGCTGGCGAAAATCCCCCGCAGCTTCTCGGCGAATTTATCGGCCGTCGCCGCGCCTTCCGCCCCAGGGAACTCGAATACTCGAGCCCCCGTCTGTGCCCGGCGCAGCCTCATCCCCGCCGCCCCGAACTCAGTGGCGAGACCGGGCCTGGCCCCCTTGAAGAGGGCCGCATACGAGAGCCCGCCACTGGCCGCCTCCGGCGACAGCGTCACTACTACAGCCGCGGTTTTGGGCGGCTGCAGCTTCCGCGGCCTCTTAGTCGAGGCCGCTGTCACCGGTGGTGAAGGCTGGGCTTGGGCCGCTTTTTGGGCAGCCCTTCTAGCCCGCCTTCGGGACTTCTTTGAGCCCCTCGCCTCCTGCCAACCCTCGTTGGAGGGGGCAGGTGCGGAGGGGCCCGGCAGGGATGTCGGAGCGGGGAGCGGAGGGAAAGCCACTCCGCTCCTCGGCGCCGCTTTAGTCTGGGCCGGCGCCTTGGCCGGTGCCTGGGCCGGCGCCTTGACTGGCACCTGGGCCGGTGCCTTGGCCGCTCTTCTCGGCCCCTGGGGAGCCGGTGGTGGAGTCGGGGCCGACGCCGACGCCGCCGCCGCGTATGACACGCGGCCTCCCACAACAGGGAGCGCAGTCGGAGCAGCAGCCTTAGGCCGCTGCGACGACGCGAGCGGGGGGCGCACGACCGGCGCAGGGGGCAGTCTTGCCTCCAGACCGGCCAGACGGCCGTCTAGCATACGCCCAACCGCGTCAAGAATTGACCGCAGTTGGGCGTCAGGCACCCCTGAGGTCGCGGTAGGGACAGGCTGAGGCGTGGACGGGGCCCCCCGCTCGGGGAGGTTCGCCCGGAAGCGGGCGAACTGAGCGCTCAGTGCGTTCACCTGCTCCGTCAGCCTGTCATTGGCCATCTGTAGGCGAGACACGTCGCCTACTAGGCCCTCCACGACCTCCGACATAGCGGAGGAGGAGTCCTTAAGGGCCCTCACAAAAGAGCCCTTAAGGTTAACTGACTTGGTGGCTACCTTCTGGACGATAGCCACCGCCGCCCTCGCCCTCTCCTGCACAGACACGGGAGCCCGGGGGGCGTCTCCCTCCACCGGCTCCCGAATCTTGAGCAGGAGATCCGCGATCTCCTCCTCCGCTGCGGCCTCGCCGTCCGCTCGTACCCGTCTGTAGGAATCCGCCTTGGAGAAGGCGGACCCTGACGGGACGGGGACAGGGGTACGCGACCTCCCTATGCGGCCGCCCTTAGGAGGCCCAGACTCCACGGATGGGTTGTCTTCCCCATCCCGCGAGAGTTCCCTCTTGCGGCTCTCGCTCGGTCCCGCTTCCACTTCCATGCGCTCCGAGCTGTCCGTCCTCTCGCTGGGGCCTTCACCGGCGCCAGTGGTGGCAGATTTGGAGCGCAAGCGCTCCGATCTTCGGCTCCCAGCAGGCAGTCTGGTACAGACTACTACCGGGAGCCCCACCGAGATAGGCGTTCCAGACACTACCTCAGTGGACGCCAGATCCACTCCACCACTCCTCCTCTGCGACTCTTCCTTCTCCTTGTTTGTTTCCTTTACCGTTTTGCTCGCCTTTGTCGTTGTTGAGATCGATCCTTTTCTATTGGTTTTTACTTTATCATCTGCCATAATTGAACCCACGAGTGGGGGAGAAATAAAGGTCCACCCGGGCAGAGATCCCCCAATACCCGGGCAAGCGTAAATTTATGCCCAACCGAGGGGTCCGCAAGTGCCCCGGCTGGGAGTGCGCTTACGACTGAACTACCCATCAGCCATGCATCCCCTGGCCACGCACCAGAACACGGGATTCGGGGCATTTTTTAGAGAGGTTTACATCCTCGCGGTCCGGGCGGTTAAGCCAAGACCCTCGTCCCCGATCAGAGCCGCGAGACTTGACCACAGCGCTCTTCTCGGGATTACGATATGCCGACGGTGACAAGGAGACTACGTCTCCCTGCCTGCTCGGTGGTAGTGTCAGTACACGCCGAGCCCGTCCTCCTCTCTCCACCGCTAACAGCGGAGAAACTGGCCCCTATAGGGCCCCACCTTCTGGTTTTTTACCGAGGTTTCCTCCTCCATGCTCCGAAGAGCGAAGAGCCAGCAGGGCAACCGGCAGACACGCCCACCCTGCTGGACCAGGCCTTGCCCGAGAGCCGATGAACGGCTGCCTCTTCTGCTAGAATATTGGCCGCTGGCGATAATCCTCTCCTCCAAGAGGACAAGGAGGGAACAGTACCATCGCCAGCGTTTCCAGGGTGCACCACGGGGAGGTTTTCTAGCTAGCACCCCCTAGCTAGCACCCCTACACCAACCCGTCTGACCAGCGTGATATACATAGTAAGCAAAAACCTCCTGTCTAAGAGGAGGCCTATGTCCAGCAGTGGACTATTAATGACTTGATGATGATGATGAATTAACATAGTAACCAATAATAAATAATTTAATTGTTAATTTTATATTAGAAAAAGTGATTGCAGTTTAATAAATTCCATGTAATATTGGCAGTAATCAATAACGAATCGCACTTTTTTATGTTAGGGTCACAAACGCGTTGCTGGCCTTTTAGGAAGTACGCTCTTTTCTTGAAGGTTTGAAGGTCAAGGTCAATTTCATAAGTAGAATAAAAAAGAAAATAACAAATTACTTAGACTAAGCTGAATCTAGGGAGAGGGACTCAAAAGGCAGCGCTCTTGTGGCTCTTGAGTTGCCGGTGTCCATGGGCGGTAGGAGGTAGGTTTACTATCAGACCCGTCTGCTGGTTTACCCCTCTTATACCGAAAAGAAAAGCTATATTGATTGTACTTGCGTTAACATTTTGAGACGAAACTACATTAATTAGAAAACTTAATTAAATTATGTTATTAACAATCAACTTTTTAGGTGCTTACACAAAACAGTTTAAATTAACTATTGATTGTTCCGTCGTCGCGTTTGTAGCGTAATAAATTGGTCTTAGCCATCCTTACACCCCTGCCACGATTACCATGATATGAAGAGCCACATACTTTCCGACAACATGTACAAAATAGTTCCAGCTGCATTCTAAGTTGCAGTGTAAAAATTATTATTTTTTGTAATAAATTTGAAAATTATTAATTTAAATAGCGGTCGCGTCACCAAGCACGCTAACAGCAGGTCAGATCCTCCGCTTCGGATGTTTCACATAAAAATAGATAGATTACCAGAAACGCAACTGAAACAGCGGGCAACGCGTACCTAACTACTAAGCATTATGTAATCAAGAACTCATTCCATTTCTAATACTAGGTACATCAAATATTATATCTAATAGCCACGCAAAGGATACTTGATTGGAAAACTTACTGGTCTGACAAAAGAAATTGGTCTTGCTCCCACGGCGTGCACATATCTAATATTTGATTGCCAAGTTTTTTGATTCACCTGTTACAGTATAGGATTCTTATTAATCTTTCTCAATTTGTTAAGCGAGACTCAAAACTAAATTTGATTGATTGTACTTACCATTTCAGGGCCTTTTTCAACTCTATCAACTCGTACGTCGAGATGGCTATTGGTACTCGAGTGTTCATTATTTATCGCTTTCCCAATCTTACAGTTTCCACTTGCTTCACTAGTCGGCGCTCGAGTACTAATGTTTTGCGGTAGAAGTTTCGAGTTATTCTCTGGCGGTGTATTGACAGTATAGCCGCGTAGAATACGGCCTGTCAACTCCACGTGGAATTTAGTCAGCGGCATGATCTAAAACTAATCGAATCCCTTTTAACTCTTAATTGGTAATTAATATGCAAATCTGCATTTATAACGCCAGTACATAAACAAGGGGCAAAATCTGAAATTTTTAACTATAGACTAATCTCGAAACTGTGTATCATAGCGTAGTTTTTGAAAGAGTTGTTAGCACACTAGACGCGCCTTCTTTTGTTACAACATGTGGGTCACCTCATTAATAGCAACCCCAAATCATTTCCTTATTATTTATTATGATATTACTATAATTGCCGCAATAGTTTCACTAGTCAGCTAAATCTCTGTATGAATGTGTGTTAGCAGATGTTAGCTCACACATGATTAATAATAGAATATAAATACTAACACAATAAGAAGTGGCGTTAGCCTAGTGGTTATCATTGGACTTGCGATCAAGAGGTCGTGGGTTCGAATCCTGGCCAGTTCCGGACCCGGTTTCTGCCTAGCGGCGGGTATAACGATCGGACTACCTCCTAGTGATACTGAGATTAGCAGATCAAAGGGGCTTTCCACAAGCGGGTCTTACCACTGGGATTTCAAGCGGCTATATCTTCTCGGGATTGTTAATGTACTAAAGAGTCCGTTCAAGGTGACAACCAGCAGGTAGCAAAAGACACCATGACTTATTTGTGTCATGTCATGACACCATGACATGACACAAATAAGCTATGCGAGCGATATGGCCGCTTTGCATAATAAAATGTCCCAAACATCTCGGGAGCTGGCTGAACTCAAGAGACGACAAGAAGAGCCTGGATTTGTTGGGCCCATCGCAGGTAGAGAGAGACAAACGCAACTGTACGTTCCAATCCCCAGGGAAGTCGGAAAACTAATCTCGAATCCGACTGTATCAGAACTCGACGTCAGCTCAACCCCAAACTGCCATCTATGTGTAATCGACTTAAGCAGTGGTACACATTTTTTGATAGATACGGGGGCAAAGGTGTCTGTGCTTGCAGTCCAAAATCTAAAGGTCGCTGCCGACGTAAGCGCGTACAGCTTACACGGTGCTAATGGAACCCCAATACGGCGAGAAAATACTAACATATACCTCAACTTAGGACTAAGACGTGTTTTAAATTTGGACATTCATAGTGACCGATGTACGACGTTCCATCAATTGCGCTGACTTTTTAAGGAGTAATAAGCTGCTAGTTAACCATGATGCTCGGAAATTGATAGACAAGGTCACAGAATTAGTCAAAAACTGGACCTAAACCCACTCAAATGTAATGTAGTTTCATACAGGACATTGTCCCATCGACGTACAAGCTCAAAGGCCAAGAACTGGAAAAATGTGATGTATGTAGTTCGTGATTTAGGCATCCACCTTGACTTCAAACTCCTTTTTGGTGTCCATGTTGATGAGAATCTCCCAGGCTTCTAAAGCACTAGGTTTCGTGATGAGGCTCTCGAGATGCTTCAAAAAAGTCAAAATGCTGAAGATCTTGTAGTATGCTTATGTCAAAAGCCATCTTAATTATGCCTCTCAAATATGCATCTCTTGTTATGTTGTCCCTCCAACACAAAGGGAGGATCCTCCGACTAGGCGAGTCCGGCCTGGCGGTCTGCGGCGCAACGGTTGACTTTGGGAAGTTGTATATATACTAATCGGCAAAAATTAGTCAAATTGAGAAACTACTCCCTTTTTAAAGTCGACTAAAATTGTAACAAAGATTTGTAGTTAAGTTTCTAGTAAAACAAATCTTTCTGAGACTTTCTTTATTCAACGGAAAAAAAAACACTTTTTGTATTAACAGTTCTATAAATACACCGAATGGCCCGGTCGGTCGTATTCGGAATTACGAAGTTAGTAAAAGCCTAATATTTATTTGATAAGAGCTGACACGCAGACGAAGCTGCGCGTGCTTCGTCTGCGTGTCTCAAAAGGAATCAATTTTACCCGTTTTTGCAAAATTTTTGATTGATGCTTGGCACCTTTTGATCGTAGCGTGATGAACAAAACTGATTTATCTACCAACTGACCCTAAACCGAGTCGAGTCGACGCGACACGACAGTATATATTTATCAATTTATCAACAAGCATAAACTATATTCTTACGTTCCTACAAAATCGGATACGGTTAGCGCGTCCTTTAATAATAATTTAATACATAAACCGATTTACTAACCGTTCGAATTTAACGGACATATTTTTCTTATATCCACCAAATGAGAAAAAATAAGGCATGGTAATGGTGTTACTTGACTGGGTAGTTTGTTCAGTTCATACCGTCGCCGCGTCGCACATAGGGGTATTTATGCAAACATAAAACATACTTTAAAAAAAAAACAATTTTTCATGACAAATAATTCTCTATTTTAAAACAAAAAAAAACAGAGAGAAATAAAAATTAAAGAAATTTTTATTTCTCTCTTCGTCATTTCTAAGGCTTTTTTACAGTGTGGTATGGATTTCTTTCCTGATTTATGTCGTATACTAAACATTAAGGGATCTGAGCTGAGCAATAATCCATTAACGAGTAGATTGCGTTGCTCTCTAAAAAAATTTCTTGCATAATTTTGCCGTTACAGTCGAATGTGTTTATTACATGAGTCTGTTGCCTCCTCTGATAACAAACTGCAGTTGCCCAAAAGATTAGGATTTTGTGTATTGTAGTAGTCATGGAGTGCCAGGGGTATGAGTTTATGTACATATTCGCTGACTTATACCCACAATGGGAACTTGAAATAACTTCCAAAATCACTTTAAAACGTCTTATTATAATAAAATTCACATCGGTAATTTCCGCAGCAACTTTGAGATTCTTGTCAAAAAATCTTCTGCTGGTATTCCCATCATTGGTATAACCGAAACCAGCTTTCAGTAAATTAATTAATAGATTCGTTTGCTGCCTAAATTTTGGTTGTATTGATGCCTTTCTCTGTTTGACTATGTCTATGACTATGGTGAAAAGTTTTTTTTTTGTTTCCCTCACTAGGAACAAATCCTGTGTCGCGGGGGACTTTACAAACCTACATGAAACGGACACAAAGAACATCCAGACTCAGAACAACAATGGTTTATCTACCAACTAACATGTTTTTCAATCTACCAATACACAGTATAATTTTACTAGATTTAGTTAAAACGTATTAATATTTATTAATACTTACCTATTACACTAGAATCCATCGCAATTTTCTTCACAACAAACCCCGAAATAAAAATACTCACTTTTAAAATAACAGTTTTGTAATAAATGTCTAATAGTGAAACGAACACTTAGAACAACGATCAGGTTTAGACTGACACACACTGGTGCGCACACCTACTAGGGTAGTCGGAGGGTTCCTCATTGTTCTATGGCTATTCAACATTCGCAGGCAATCTTTTTTTTACCTGAGACACATTTTTGGCAGCCTAATTTTCGTAAATACCCCTATGTGCGTCGGTCGTTAGCTAGTATGCTTAGGTATTGTCAAGTTTTACGCTTGTATGTAAACTCGGTTGCGAACCGTTGACAAACCGTAAAACGATGGTTTAATCGATTACGCCGAATCATGTTCACATCACTTTCGTATGTTACATTCACTCGTCAACTCGTCATACTCTTCGAATTCTTAACCTTTCTGAGATTAACGATTCAAATATTTTTTCAGTTATACTCACCAACAGTTAATTAACATAACAAAAAAACTCAACAAGAAAGTAATTTAAGTAGTATGTAAATATTAAACTTAAAATTTATACATATTTTTACAAAAATAATTTAAAAACTATTATGATGTTGTTTATAAGAGCCAAAATTGACGTTACAATTTTTTTAAATTTCTCAGGAGTGAACTGTCCTAAAGACCAAAGAGTTATCATTCTAGACGATTTACTATTATTAAATTTGTTCTGCAGTGAACAAAGCAAAGTTGCCCAAGCAAGGCTTGACTATTCACAAAATGGTTGCTCTCTGCACTTTCGGAGCGATGCGATCTTCAAACCTTCAAGAAAAGAGAGTACAAAGACCTCAAAGACTGGTTATAAACTTGTGGGTCTTAAGTTACAGTTGCTGGGCGACGGTAGTCAATTACGATACTATACGAAGCATAAAGTAGTAGAAGTAAATCCTGTCTCCTCGTTTCACCCCTGTAACATAAAAACAGAGAAACACGAGCTTTATAGTAGTAGTCATATATGATGGGTAAAATGTAGGTAAAATCTCACGTACTATCTCGGTCATAACTCATTTGTTAAATCGAATAGTACACGTTTCATTGGGTTCCCATTACATACCACTAGAAATCACTACCCATCACATACACATAAAAAAATGTGGACAAGTGTGAGTCGGACTCGCCCATCGAAGTTCTATTTATAACACAAATTCGTGTTAGTTAGACCATTTATAACTCAAGAACACATCAAGAAGCATGGACCTTATGATTTTTTTTTGTTGGATTTGTCTTCTACCGGAAAAGGATAATATATATATATATATATATAATATAAAAAAATATCATTAGGTGCTGCATATCTTAATACGAGTAAATACATAATTCTTCTGCACGTGGTTTATAGGGTATTATAGGTTATAACGTATAGGGTATAACGTCAATTTCGCGAAATTCAGTTTCCAAAACCTATAATTACTTATGTTATTGTGTTTTATAATTGAAAGTGTACCTCGAGTATTGATTACGTACAGTCAACGACCAAAGATTGAAAACGAAATGATCAAAAACGGATTGTCAAAACTACTGAACGTTATTTGAAGCAAAACTAGGTAGTGCTACAATGTCACAAAACTAAGTAATTAAATAAAGTACCCATAAATTAGACTGAATTGTCAGCATAAGTTGATGAAAAAAGACGTTTCAAATAAATTTGCTGATTTAACTATCGCAAATAGTTTCTACTTTTGATCAAAGACGTTTCTTGCCGTCCACAAGTGGTCAACCCCGTGCGAGGCGCTCCAGTGTTGATGTAATGAGCGTATGCAAATAGAACTCCATACGAGGCGAAGGCGAGGCGATGCTGGTCGGGTGGCTCTAATGAGCTATGACCTTTTCAATCCCACACCACCCGCCCGTCTTGGTCCGGTCTATCTACTCGTACGATACGATGCATACGGGGCACTTTTTTCCACTTGTGGAAATCCTCCCGGATACCACATCACCCTCGAGCCGACTAAAACTATACACCTGTCTTCGGTGCCAGCAGCCAGGGTACCAGGTGAACGCTGGAGAGGAAATCCCTGTACCCTAGCAACCCTCGTACTATCTACGATTTATTAGATAGTCTGAGACGTGCTAGACGCCTGGCTCGCTACCTAGCGTCGGGAGAGCCCCTTTCGCGAGCCACATTTGCCAAACTTTCGCCTGTAGTAGGACGTGGCGGAATTCCACACGCTTCTCCGCCAACGCCAGTGTTCTATGGAGCTCTGTGCACGCTTCGGCCCTCGCCTTGGTGGCTTCGGGGGATACTGCACAAATGGACACCGAAGCATCAGCAGCAAGGTATGAGAGTGTCCCGTATTATGAAACGGGGCACAGGGCAATGTTTCCTTTATTCCTTTTAGTCTCTTTATTCCTCATTTTCCTCAATATACCTTATTCCTCTACACTTAGAAACATTTTGATAAGAAATAACATCGCCTGATCAATCTTCCGAGATCCGGTGGAATGAGGAGATAGAAACCAGGGGAAGGTGTATGGGTCTAGCTCAAATTCCATTTATTCTGGAATGTTTGAACACTTGGAATATACTTTAAATAAAGACTATATTAGTTTATATTTATAGATTTTCCCTGTACTTGTAGCATAAGATGATGTTACTTGCTAAATTTTATAGTTGTAATAAATTTTGATGCCCTTGAGTGTCGAAATATGCGTTGTTTGCGGCATAAACGTCCGTATCTTTTTTCACGTTAATTTAGAACTTTGATTTGTTCACAGCTTCAAGGGCTGTAAACTGAGTATGTTAAGGATACGTTCCCGAGATAAAGGGTCTTGACAGACGGACAACAAAGTCATTCTATAAGGGTTCTGTTTCTTCCTTTAAAAAAGAACTCTTAAATTACCTCATAAACTAGGGCCAATCTGTCCAGGTAGTTCTCAATCTGTCTAATCTCAATCTAATACGGACAGATGCAACATTATCGGATGCAAAATAAAAACATTATTAGGTATTAGTTTTCAATCATATTATCTATTTAAGTATTAGAGAAAAACTGTTCCAAATACGTATAATGTAACAATTCTGCAGCAACTACCTATCTGAACTACAAACTAATGAAGCACTGAGGAACTCTTGGCATCTTTGACAGGCAGCAATTTAGTACATTAGTACTAAACTAAAGCGCTAGGAGCCAACACTGCTTGATTTGGTTGACGCGAATTGACCTACCTATAATTTAAACGTATGTCTGTTCCTACACCTTCTAGTCCACTCTACTATCAACAATTTACAGCAACCAACCCTGAGCTAAATCTACAAGTAGTTGAGGTGTACAGTTGTATTCTGAGGAAGTATTGATAATGCCACTCGTCGATTTACTGCGCGAAAACACTGCAACGTAATTCTAGATTCTCGGTTATTCCTGCAAGATTTGTAGTTATTTCATTACAAATCAATTATGAATGTGCGAAGCATTCGACAGCAGTGTTTCATAAAAAAATTGATTCGGAGAGCTTATAACATCGCAGGTGTATGTTTTATTATACTGTGTTAATGCTCTAATATTTTAAAGCAGTCAGTGTAAAATAGGTAAAGGTAAATACGGTAAAGTCCCCCGCGAAACAGGATTCATTTCTATCGCGGGAGGATAATTTATTTATTTATTATTATTTATTAAAAAGGATAACTCCCGCATTAGGAATATATCCTGTGTCGCGGGGGACTTTACAAACATACATGAAACGTACACAAAGAACACCCAGACTCAGAACAACAATTTGTTGATCACACAAAGTGTCGTCCCATGTGGGGATTGAACCCGTGCAAGCGATATAATGTGAGGTATATGTTTAAAACATCTACTTTCATCTTTTAGTGACTTTCTGCAACAAGTTGGATATTTCTTCTACATTACAAGGGTCTTTCGTGTTGTGAATTGACATTATATTTACCAAAAAGCACTAATAAAAGACTGTTTTGAAGTATTATTTATTTTAACAATATGTTAACAACTTAAGTGCAGCACAATTAAAATATATATCGGAAACAGTAGTCAACAATCCAGGAATATAGAACATATGGTATGTAAGAAATTAATAACAAACAAAGCATTATTTTCAAGTGAGCTTCACTACAACGGACACTTAATGAACTGGGCTAAACTTTCACAATATAAATATAAAATCTTTTATGTCTTTTTACTAGTATTTAATACATTGTTACATGTCTTTTAAAACTATTTATACTGAAGTTGGATTCGCAGAAAGTAGTTTGGTTTAGTATAAAATACAAATTGTACAATTTTATTGTTCAGTTTTATATTGAACTCACCAGTGTCATTGGCGCCGTATCACAAAACATCTCAAAATGAAATACTTCAAATACAATAAAATAGAATAATCGCAATACATAAAACTTTGTATTTATATAAAGCAATAGTATAAATAAAAAAATGTAGTTTTCTATCAAAACTCATATTTACATGTTTAATGTATAAAGTAACTAGTCAATATTAAATTATTCGAAGAAATCTGGGTCCTTTATAATTCCTCATTCCTCTATAGTCCTAATGTGATCATTTGACTGTTTAGTGTTGCAATAACATTGGTTCTGGTTTGCCATCCAATAAAGATAGCGCTAGCGCTTTCCATCTGCTAAAGGTTTACCAATTAATAAAAAAAATGAGTTACTTTTAGTTTAATCATTTAAACAAAGGCAAGTATTTGCTTAACAAATTAATTAATTAAACTTTTGTGATAGGAATGTGTTCGTATCGAAAGTATTTTTGTGTGTAGGTCATACTAATTTACACATTATGAATTTATTTCACTCCTCTAATTGTTTCGTAATAAACTGATTAAATTAAATAATTTAAACTTGATACTTTCTCTATAATAAACATGATACATAAATAATTTACAATAAGTTTCATAAACAATGTTGTACAGTATTATATTATATAAAAACCGAAATTATTACAATAAAATATTATGTACAAATAAATTAAAAAATACGCGCTTGGCTTAATCAGAGCACAACAAAACGTGGTTTAGCGCCTTGTATTATAATGCAGTAGTGTTTGTTAGTGTGTTAGAGCGGCCCTTATAATGCCAACAACTAATTCGTCTTATAATATTATAAAAAACAGTTTCGTTGTGCGCAGCCATATCGAAGGATCTCATTCATTAACGTTATTGGTTAGGTAATGAAAGTAATATTTTCGGACATCTAACACACAGCGCCATCTAGATTCAAACTAAGCAAAGCTTGTACTATGAAATCTAGATTGACTGATAGAATATTTATATACTTTTTACGTAAATACATAAATTATGTATTATGTAAATACATAAATATTATACATAGAGAACACCCAGACTCCAAAACAAATATTTGCAGATCATACATACAAACACCCGGGAATCGAACCCGAGACCTCAGCGCAGCAGTCGCATACGCTGCCACTGCACCAGCGAAGCATTCCAGTAAAGTCATCGAAAGTAAATCATCATCCAAGTTAACCATATAAATAGATGATCACTTATTCGTGTTAAAATAACCAGTTTGTATATATTTATACATTAATACAATATACCTATAATATAATGCCAGATACTTTAGACAATTTCTAAGACAACAATCACTACTAAGTTATATTCTGAACTGTAGTTCAACTCAAGCTGTGACTTCAACGTCGTTGTTTATCGTTAAAGTCAATGGTTTCCTTTTTAAAATAATAACATAATTTACAAAATTGCGTGTCTTTAGATACAGTGAGCGGTCATAAATGCAGTCCCACCGTAATGTTCATATTCGTTCGCCGGTTCTGTGCATATCTTTGTGTGTGTGTGATGTTATAATGCATACACGAACACATTACGAACAGATAATACAAACGTACACATGTGTGATGTTGGTTAGTAATATACATGTGTGCATAACACTACATACAATTTAATACGTCTACTTATACTTGTTTCGTTATAAATTTCATAAGATAATGATTCTTATAATTGGAATTATTGCGTTATTTTTATAACGTAAACGATCGCCACTAAGTTCAACAACCAACGTCATAACATTTTGTTACAGCTAGTATATTTTATATTGTTTTAAATCTACCCTCAATTTTTCGAGACCACTAGTTTAAAATATTGAACCAATGATTTGTATTCTTCGACATTACAATATTACGCTCATTATAACCATATTTCATAAATTCTCAAAAAATAACTCTGAGGTTGTATGAGCCTTGAACCGGTGACATTTGCATCAGCCTCCACCGACCACCTGACGGACAGTTATGAACGACATCCAAATTAGTTACTGTATTCATACGCACAAAGTACAGCATGTGTATGTGTGTGTTATATACGTTAATAGAATAAGGTCGTAAGTACAACTTCTTATAATGTTATAACTTCGTAAAAAATGGGACTGGACTTATGACCGCGACCGTACCCTCAACAAATGCAATCAATTCTTTAATAAAAACGCTTCGATTAAAATAACTTTAAAAAAAATATTATATAAAATATTGAGTGGATAAACTTAGTATAAGGAGCACGGGATAATAAGATAGTAAGTCTCAGTGTTCAAGGCGAGAGGCGAGATTCGTTGGAGAGTGCCTTGTGATTGAGAGAGATGCTCTACGGGCTTCACATAATGTAGAGCTCGAACACTGAGTTATGATACTCTGTTAAATTTGGAATGAAGCTGCCTCTTCGTAGTTAGCTATAACATAAATGCCGGCAGTGAGATTAAAAACCACAGCTCTGTCAAATCGGACGATAACCGAGTTCCTTGTTGGCGCAGGCGACGGGAGTGAGCGAAGTTACGAGTACTCCTTGGTGAACTTGGCGTGGAACTTCTGGAACACTTGCAGCATCTCCTTCAGTAACTCGGGCTGGGGGAGGATGGTGGTCCTGAAGTGCCAGGTGCCTGGCTTCTGGCCGAAACCTGACCCTGGGATTATGCAGATGCCTGTAAAAATGTTAATTAATAAATTATTTGAGTACTGATTTGGCATAATTTCATTGTATTTAAGTGAGTAACTTGTGTTCTGAAGGACTGCATAGTTACTTTGTTAAATTTTACTTCTATTTATAGTGATTAGATTATTTTAAACAATATTTATGACAAAATTGTAATGTTAGATGTTACAAAAAACTGTTTTATATTTGAAAACATTGAATATTGCACAGCTATACAGTTTTATTTATAAAGCGAGTAAACTATAGTGAGAAAAATCTCTAAAAAAGTGTTTTAAGTGCTTCCTTATACTAATTTGGTGGAATGAGTTTTTTTTATAATTTTGTGAGTGTAGAATAATGTAGACCAGGAATTCCCAAATTATTTCGAGCAAGAAATCTCTTTTCTAAAATGAACTGATAACTCAGATTCCTATAACTAAATTACTTTAAAACCCTATGTCTAGTTTTTGCCTATTGATCTATGTATAATACTTAGAAATTTTAAAACTTTATGGTTGGTTAAGTAAGTATACTCGACATCATTTTCTCATCAAAATTTAACAAAATAAATAGACATATTAGTAAGTCTTATAACAAGTTGGTAAACGTAACACAACTAATACAGTATCTTGAAAGTTTCAATTAAAAACTTGTGTTAATTATTAGGGGTTGATTGACTGGCGGCGAGCGCATTGCGAAGCGCGGTCGGGGGGGGTCGTCTACTCGTCTGTAGATGACCCGAGGTATGTCGGGGCACCAGGGACTTCCTTTCTAGGGTATACCTGGTTCCCCGGCTATTAGTACCCGAGATGGCGTGCGGTGTTAGTCGGTTCGAGTCCGACATGCCACCGACAGGTGGTATTCGAGTGGATTTCCGCAAGGAAAAAAAAAAGGGGTTAATTGATTCGTTGACTCCCACTATCAGATTTCGTTTATGTCGTCACATGAGAAACCGATTTCGACCCCAAGGGGTCAATATCGAGCACTTTGGGATTCCCTGGTGTAGACTATGCGTGTGTCGACGTACCGGTCTCCTCGAGCAGGCGGAATGCGTAGAACACGTCGGGCTTCATGTCCTGCTCCTGCGCCGCCTGCACGGCTCGCGGCGGCAGCTTGATCTGAGGGAACGCGTACATCGCACCCTGGGGAAAAACGCGCCACGGCTATCACGTCACGGCTCCACGCCTTGTGGTCATCGACGGCAGGGGTTGTGAGGAGACGTTACCTGTACGACGTTGCAGGAGAAGCCCTCCATGCTGTTGAAGGTCTCGTAGATCATTTGCGCGCGCAGAGCGAGTGACTCGAGCACGTGCGCCTTCTCCTTCGCGAACAGCTCGTACGAGGGGTCGCCGGGGGCCGGCTCGCGGGCCTGGGGAGGAAGACGAGTGTTAAAGAAAAACAGGCCATTCAAAAGTAAAATAACACTTACATACTTAAACATAATTTAACAAAACTTTTCGTTGTAAATGTGTATAAGCAACATTTTTAACCCAAAATAATGTATCGTGTACGTGTAACACAATACTCACGACACAGTCCATGACGGTTTGTCCAATGGCGCTGGGGCACAGCATAGCGGACATGGCCTTGTACAAGTTGGCCTGCACCCCAGGGTCCAGGTTCATCAGCTCCATCCAGCCGCCCCTTATGCCACACTCGCCCATGTAGCCCTTCGACGCAGACATGAACGAGGCCAGCTCTAGCTTGTTGTAAGGGGGACCCATTTCAGTAATCACCTGAAATATAAATCGTTTATATTTGGATATATTTTATTGTGTAACATGTATGCTGTCTAATTGACTTCGTAAATAAGGACATGTGTAATAGAAAGCTGGAGAAACGAGCAACATAACATTGGAGCAATGAACGCGCAGAGCTACAGTTCTCCGTTAGGTGGAAAAAGAAAAGCAAAAACTAGACTCTTGAAAGTAAATTCGTTTTGACGCACGTTCGTACAGATCCGTGACGGATTAAGAATACAGAGTGTCATCACTCCTACTCATCCCGTGGGTGTCGTAAGAGCCGACTAAGAAAGTAGTAGTAAGACAGGACAACAGCACTGCAGAGAGAAGGAAAACTTCACACAAATCCTATACCCACCCATCTGGCCAGCGTGGTATAGTAGGCCAAAACCTCCCTTCTAAGAAGAGGCCTATGTCCAGCTGTGGAAAAAGGCATTAAAGGTTGTTGATGATGATTATGGTACAGATCTCCATACAAAAATGGGCATTCTCTTTTGACGATATATTAGAAAGTGTTCATCTAAGAATAGCTGTAAAATCTTTAATTGAGTTATAAACGTACCTTCTTGAATGAATAGAACTGGCTACCCTCGGCGTATACGTTGTGTTGGTACACCTCGTCGGCGAATATGAACAGTTTCTTCTCGTGAGCGAACTTCACTATCGACTCGATGTTCTCGCGCGACAAGACCTGAGGGTGGTGGGAGATCAGGTTAAAAGTGTATCGATACATTTATGATTGACAATATATAAACAAGCGTATTAGTTTATCACATGCTGTCCGTGTGGTGACTGATTAAGAATACGAAGTGTCACTACCCCTATTCATCCCGTGGGCGTCTGAGGCAGCAAACTACGCAAGACAACAGCACTGCAAAGAGAAGGGAAACTTAAAACAAACCGTTTTTTTACGTGTGGAAACCCTCTCGAGCCGTCACCCCTCCGGGGTTTGCGGCGGGGTGGTGTGTCGGACTCGGACCGACTAAAACCACACGGTGTGCCACTCTGCGCCTGTAACAGGAGGGATCCGGGAACAGCTGTTGTTAAGACATCCGGACCCCTCCTAGCGCCTGCTGGAGATGGAGGGGAAAACCCGTCCCGTCCACCCGCGGCCACACTCAAGGCGGCATGAGGCGATGGTGAGCGCGCCTTAGCCGCCCGGTTCGCCGGCGACGAATTGGGTCCGAGGAGAGGGTGTCCTCCCGGGCCCTCTCCGCCGCCTCCTTCCGCGAGATGACGTCTTCGCAGAAGGATGCGACCGCGGTAAAAGATCTGTCACTACCGGCCATGAAGCGTATGACGGCCGGTAGCGAGAGATCCTCTCCGATGACTGCAATGAGGAGTCGGCGCTGCGGCGCCCAAGACGGACAAGTTGCCAGCGTGTGCTAAGCCGAGTCCTCACTGCCATCGCAGTGGTGACAGGCGGGACTCAATTCCCTCCTAGCAACCGAGTGCAGGTACTTCCCGAAGCAGCCGTGCCCGGAAAGAACCTGCGTCAGCCGGAACGAAAGGGTCTCGTGCTGCCGCCCTGCCCACTCGACGATCACCGGCTGGAACGCCTCCAAGGTGGCAAAGCCTGCACATGGGGCCTCCAGCCGGGACGACCAACGAGCTATCGTGGCTCGGCGAGCGGCCCCACGCCATTCGCGTATCGGTCGGTCATCGTTTCGCCGAAAGCCGCTATCCGCCCGAAACTCAGTCGTCCGCCGATATATTTCGGCGAGCACTTCCGCCTCCAAATCCCACGGGGGAGTACCGGCCAACGCGCACGCCGCCTCCGTCGAAACGGTGCGGTAACCGCGTATGGCTCCAACCGCCAATACCCTCTGAGAGCGCCAGAGGCGAGCCCTATTCTGGGCGGTCAGAGCCGTCGCCCACACGAGTGCACCGTACAGAGCCATTGACTGGACAACCCCGTGTACAGCCGGCTTGTCGCGACACTGGCTCCTTCCAAATTGGGCAAAAGTCGCCCTAGGGCAGAAGCAGCGCCGACCAGCTTTGGAGCAAGCTGTCGGAAGTGCTCGTCGAAAAGCCACCTCCCGTCGAGAATCGACGAGGACCGAATCGACCGCGATGGAAGCGCCGGGGGGCGGACCACGATGGGGCCCATGGAACAATGCGGCTTCGGTCTTATCCAGGGCCACCCGTAAGCCCAGCGCCTCCAATGCGCCCGACCAGAAGAGAGACCCCTGGTGGCTAGGCGCGCAGCCTCTTGAAAGTCCGCCCCCCGCGTTGTAACAAGCGTGTCATCGGCGTAACAAATAACGCCCAGCCCGGAGGGAGACCTCGAAGGGCCCAGTCGTAACCCATGTTCCACAGGAGTGGTCCGTAGCCTCAAAGCACCACTTTGGTCCTCGTACATGACGGTACGCTCCTCTAAGTAGTCTGCTACTAGCCGCCTCAAGTAGTCTGGCACTCCATGATAGTGGAATGCTTCCCTGATGCAGCTGAATGGCAGACTGTTGGCGGTGTCGTTGGCGATGTCCAACGACACCGCCAACACCACTCCGCCGCAGCTCACGGCCTCCTCGGTCACGGCCCTAAGGCGCATCACGGCATCGATCGTCGAACGCCCCGCTCGAACCCTGAATTGGGCGTCCGACAGATCGGGTCCCACCTCGCAGAGGTGCTGGACGATGCGGGCAGAGAGAATTCTCTCAAACAATTTACTCGCCTCGTCCAGCAATACGATGGGCCTGTAGGCCGTGACCGAATCAGCACGCCGTGCCGGCTTCTTCAATAGCACCAGCTTCCCCCTCTTCCAGCACTTAGGAAAACGTCCGGACGCCAAACTAGCGTCGAACACCTCCCTGAGGCAGTCTGCCATGTAGTGGAGGACTAGGGCCAGCACTCGGGCCGATATCCCGTCCGGCCCAGGGGCGGTCTCCTTGGAACGGATCCGTAGAAGCCGCCCCCACCTCCGAATCCCGGACGGGTGAAAAACTTAAAACAAACCTTATACCAACCCGCCTGGCCAGCGTGGCATAGTAGGCTAAAACCTCCTTTAAGGAGAGGCTTATGTCCAGCAGTGGACTATTACAGGCTGTCATGTGTGATGTGATGCTTAATGTATCAGTAGAGACGAGCGTTTGGTTCCATTAGTTACGCAGGTATCCAGTAGGCCCAGTACCTGTCCGGTGGGGTTGCCGGGGTTGATGACGACGATGGCGCGCACGTTGCAGCGCTCGACGGCCTCGGCGTAGCTGCGGCGCAGTTCGGCCGCGCTCAGGCCCCAGCCGCGCGCCTCGTCCAGGTAGTAGCTCACCGGCGCCAGGCCGTACTCAGCCAACGACGCCGAGTACAGCGGGTACTGCGGGATCGGGATCATTATACCTGCCCACGCGATACGACACACCTTCGTTACTTCGTCTCTCAATATCGCGTCTACCGCCTCGCTAACGTTATTCGCTTGACGAAACGCTTGGATTAAATTTGAATCACAAAAACCGTTCAACTTTTTCGACATCATACATATTTGAGTATTGTATTATATACACCACAAACCATGGATTTGATAAACCATGGAAACCTTTTAAAGGGAAACCCTGCGGTTCCTAAAAAGTTTATTGACTAACACACTGTCTTTTAAATGACTGACCATGGAGCCACATAATATTAAGTATTCACCCTCAAATTAAAGACTGCTTTGTGTCAAAATAAACCTTAAAATAGGTTAACCCTTAAAATATCTTGCAAACCACAGCGAAAGAACGGCAATTTAAAATGACTACTAGCCGAACTAAAAAGTAAAAAATAATTTTCTATAAATTCAAAAAGAAAAATTATTTTAACATAAAGTATTTTACTGATATTAATTGATTTATCAAATTATTGTATTGTCATGAATCCTTGACAAATGTGCAAAGTTTGAATTCAATCCGACATTTTAAAGTTGATGAAAATCACGATCAAGAATTTCGTTACATAGGTACATACACACAAAGAAAAATGAAAGCGTGCTAAAATCGCAACTTTTTGACATAAATAAAATGTAATTTCTGCAACTCTACAATCACACCATTAAGTGTTCGTTTCGTTCATCATATAACTCATACACACAAACATCTGCCACCAGTAAACGTTATCGACCAATCAATGTGTTATCAATATAACACATCGTCTTTATTGACTTGGGCTATAATACCTAGTGCCTGCGCATGTCTACAATAACTGATCACATCAGTATTACTCGTATTTAGTGACCGGTATCTTGTGGTAGACAGAAAAATACCTTGTCTATGCACCTATTATTTAAACTAATAAAGCTAAGAGTTTGTTGGTTTGGTTGACGTTAACGAGTGTTCGATAGCCCATTATATCGAGGAAGGCTGTAAACTACACTCTACGACCAATAGATTCAAGTATTAGGTTTCATCCCGAGACTTTTATAATGCCTAATCATCAGAACACCTCCCTAAGGTCACCAGAATACTTGATACAAAAAAAGACAAAGCATTTGCATTGGTGGAATGCTTTGCCATCTTCTATCAGACAAGTTCAAGCCGAGCATTTATGAAAAATGTAGCAATAACTGATTCTTCCTTTCGAGAGACGCAGACAAAGCTGCGAATTAAGTCATCCGTGTGCTGACTTTAACAATACGCAAAGTCACTACCCCCTTTCATCCCGTGGGTGTCGTAAGAGCCGACTTAGGGAGCAAACTATGCAGAATAACAGCACTGCAAAAATAAGGAAAACTTAAGACATAAACTCTCTAAAAACCCGTCTGGCAAACGTGGTATAGTAGGCCAAAACCTCTTTTCTAAGAGGCCTATTTTCAGCACTATTGAAGGCTTTTAATGTTCCTAAGGTACAGTACCTGGAATCACGTCCACCCGAAAAATTAGAAAAAGTTTAGCGAAAGAACAAAAATGTTTTAAATTTACCGTTTGGTCCTCACCATGCCCCTCAACATTTAAGAAGAGAAGGAGAAAGCCCGATCAGCCTTATTTATTTTAAGGAAAGTCTACAGAGTTTTTGTATGTTACAATTAAATTTTTTATGCAGTCAGCCCCAGCTGGTTGCATTTACAATAAACTTAAGCCAATTACAGAGTTCCACGGCAAGTTGTGTTAAAATATTATAACTAACAACATTGAATATTACTTTAAAATTCAAAGAAACACTAAAGGAAAATTATTTAAATAAGTACACTGTTATTTTTATGTAATAAATGCATCGCTTATCAAGGAAGGAGATTAAGAGAGATACGTTTTCAATACCATAATTGCTTTTTCATTCTTTTATTGTAAGTGGCCAGATACAGAGACTTTAAGTATGACTAGGCATTAGGCATCAATAATCTAAAGATACGGCGATATCATTGACACTAATTGATGTAAATATAATGAATAATAAGTAACGTATGTGGTAGACAATGTCTATTTATAGTTCGTCTATACTATTGCGCACACGGATCTTACCGATGCTATTGACCCGCATTAGACATCTATTCATTGCTATCATTTTTTTATTGATCGTAACACACATGTAATAATTAGACTTGCAACGAATATTCGGTTACTATTCGGTAGTGCAAATTCGGTCCAAATTGACCATTTCGACCCCAATACGAATGAGGTTAAAATAGTTCGGTCTGAAAAAAGGAACATAAAGTGTTCAATCCCGCAGGGCAGCGTGTTGGGTTGTGTGCTATTTCTGATATACATCAACGACTTACCAAAAGTACTAAACAAGGAACATACATTACCTGTCCTATTTGCTGATGATATATCAATACTAATTACTTATGACAAAACCACAAAGCCGACACCACTACTTCAGGAAACTCTAGATACAGTAAATAACTGGCTCAACGACCATAACTTAGAAATTAACTATAACAAAACAAAAACTATCCAATTTAGAACATACAGAAACACCCCCGTAAACATCGACACAACATACAATGGCACACAACTAGAAACTGTAGATACATTCAAATTACTTGGTATAACTATAGACACACACATCAACTGGAAAGCACACATCGAACATACAAAAAATAAACTGTCTCGATTTACATATGCTCTATTCCAACTTAAATGCAGCACAAACGAAAAAACCGCACTGTCAGCATACTACGCATACGCATACTCCTGGTTACGATACGGCATTATGTTGTGGGGAAACAGTGTACACTTTCAGGATTTATTTATATTACAAAAGAAATGTATTAGAATTATCGGACAAATTGGAAATCGTGATAGTTGTAGGCCCTTCTTTATTAAATATAACATCCTCACACTACCATCATTATACATATTTGACATCTGCATATTTGTATCCAAGAACATGAGTCACTTCGCGAGAGTAAAAGACAATCACAATTTAAACACACGCCACAGAGACAGACTATACCTACCACCATAAAGAATTAAAATGCTACACCAGAGCCCTTACTACATGGCTGTAAAAATATACAACAAATTACCTATCCACATAAAAAATGAAACGAAGACTACACTATTCATTAAAAAACTATAAGCATTCTTAATTACAAAATGTTTCTATTCTGTTAAAGAATACATTGAGGAAAAAAACACTTAACAAACTACACCTCTTATTACACGGAAAACAGAAATCATATACCTAAGTACAAATCATAAAAAGAAAAATCGGTCGTGATGCACGGAAATGCTAGGGACAGTAGGAAAATGTGTATATGTATTAGTGATGTAGAATGTCGGGTGCCTTCGTATTTTTGCATGCTTCGTTCGATTGTTATACTGTACTATTTGAGTCACTTAATTTGTATTGTTCAAAAAATGCTTGTACTTGTGTAACAATTTATTCTTCTGCGTTCTCTCTCAAATTTTTGCAATGCCTGGAAAAGGCTTCTAAGTTGGGACTACTACATATAATTATATAAGATCATTGATGTACACTTGGTTGGCAAATAAAGATTTGATTTGATTTGATATTCGGCCTATTCGGCTGCTTTTATTATATTCGGCCGAATACCTACCGAATATCTACATATTATTCGGCCGAATACCGAATACTTAAATAATATATTTTGTCATTGAGAAATAATTGGTAAAATGAAAAATTAAAATCGATTGATTACGTATATATTCATATTTTCATTTCTGTTATAATCATTTAAGTAGTCATTGGTGCATAACACAGGTACATAATCATCTTCTGAATAGGAAAAATGGAGGATTCTATGTATTTGAATTATTGTGGTAATCAAAATTTAGAAGGGTAAGGTTCTTATTTCTTTTATAATCATTTATTAAGTAGTCATTGGTACATAAAACAGGTACATAATTTAATTCACGTCTGTACAAGTTTTTGGCGCTCAAATCCAGCCGAATACTTTTGCCTAATATTCGGCTATTCGGTCAGGGGCCTCGCCGAATATTCGGTATTCGGTATACTGCCGAATATACTATTCGTTGCAAGTCTAGTAATAATTAAAATTTAATTTAAAAAATTAATTCCCGACACACATCTTGGATTTGAAATTTGTCATAGTGCATTTTACTAGTCAAGCCTTTCATTTGATAATCATATTGAGGAAGTTATGAAAAAATTTATGATCCGCAATTTTGAAAACAAAAACGGTTCGGGTACATAATTCCAATTTTAAACTACATACGAGTACTTGGTTCATTAACATTGTCGTGCCTATTTCAAGGCATAGAAAGGCAATCGAGCAGACGTGTCACCTGATGGTAAGTGACAACCGTCGCTAAAGGACACCTAAAACTCAAGAGTCACAAATGCGTTACCGCCCTTTGAGTCCTCCCAGAATTAGACAGATTGGGAGTTTTGACCTTCGATAACCTCTTTAACTTAGTGAAAAGCAAGGAAAAAATAGCTTAACAGTGGTTTTCAGTGACTATAACAATAATAATTGAAAAATCTGACACACAACGCCATCTAGATTCAAACTAAGCAGAGCTTGTACTATGAAAGCTAGATTGACTAATAGAATACTAAGACTTATATACTACTATACTTTTTTGAAGTGAAAACTTCTTTAGGTGGGTTGAGCATATTTTGAGATGGGAAAAAACAATTGAACTCGCGACACTGTTACCGTTACCCACACCTCTGTATATGAGTAGATAAGTTTTCACTTCTGTCGGCACTCCCGGAGTGCCACTGTTTATTTTTGGTAAATACATACATATTATACATGGAAAACACCCATATGTAACGAAGCATGGCTCCCCCACTTTTGAATACTACGGTACGGAGATACCAAACTCTCATCCGTTCTACAATTAGGAAGGCAACAAGGATTTCAATTATTATGAACTGTTATTGTAGCTATTTCTTACCTGACTTCTTGCCATCGATGTCATTGCAGAAAAGTTGCAGAACATTTTTGATGCCAGTAGATGCGCCCGCGCAAAGACACACGTTCTCCCAGTGCGAGGGGTGTCCGTCGCGTTTCGCGATGTACGCGGCGACGTTCCTACGGATCATCTCAATACCGTGTGAGGCGGTGTACGCGCCCACCGAACCACCACTGCAATAACATTAATAGGAATTTAATCAACTCAAGTATTAGGTTTCATCCAGATACGTTTAAAATGCCTAAGGTCATCAGAATACTTAATACAAAAAAAGACAAAGCATTCCACCATTTTTTTTTTGAAGCTGTGCATTGGTGGAATGCATTGGCCACTTCTATGAGACAAGCTCAATCCGTATGCTTTCAAAAGAATATTATATAAGCATTATCTTTCACTATTTGGTAATTATAATTACCTAACTTATTAATTCTAATTATGTAATTGTTTAGATAGTTTAAGATATTAGTGTATTAATTTAAGCTGTTCGTTACTACCACATGTATTTAATTATAAAACTATTCTAGTCTGTGAAATGCAGTTAATGACGATTACAGATATTTGAGTGATGTAATTTAAAGTGATGTGTACTCACCCACATGCGGACAAAATCTCCTTAGCTCTAGCCTTAACGTCTTCTGGGAAGCTGCTGGTCTCGATGAGCGAAGGGCAGGTAACGCAAGCCAGCACCTATACGACATTCAACTATTAGAAAGATAATACACAACTTTTGAAGATTACTTAATTTAGTCAAATTTATTAAATAACAAAAGCAACTAAATCCACAATAAATACAAAGAAAAAACTAATAAGAGATGGAATAAAACAGATGAATATGGTACCTATTCTTTAAAAATGTCATGTGTAACTATACACACGAGTTAACGACTAAATCGGAGGAACGAAAATGAATAAAAAAACATACTAAACTAAAATACTAGGTAATTAGACCTTTATGAGAAACGATAAAATACCTATTACATTTCATATACGAGTATTGTTACTGTCGCCCTGAGACGAAATTTGATTTCAAACTTTGGAGAATATCGCACGATATTCCAGAGTAATGGTTATTATTAAAAGTTTTCTCGGGAAAGGTAACGAGCCTTCTGGAAGTATTTATGAGAGTACCCTGGGCTATATATTATTAGAGAAAATCACAGTTCTGCGATACGTTGCTTAACCAGCATTTACTATTGTCGAGTCGCTGTGTTAGTTGGTTCCATTCATATCAATCAAGACAAATCAAGCAATAAAAAAATTATTAGAGACATCGCGACGCTGACATTTAGAAACGACATTCATGCACCTACAACTATTTAGTTTCAAAACTGATCGAGTCACAAATATATGTGTCAGTGCCACTGGCAATATCGACTGTGAAGATACAACAACCGGACCTGCTTAAAACAGACAAAGTTCAGCTGTTAGTTTGTCAGTTCCTCTTCTCTGAGTAAAAACAAATATGTGTATACAATACTTAAACGTAAACTATGGCTAATATTAATAAATTACCGTATATATACAACAGTTAAAACAACAAATAAACATTGAAATCAATAACCGTATATTATGTGATTGCTGCAACTAATCAGTCAAGTATCTCAGTTACCTTTCGTGGCTGTATCAACGCACACCTCGCGTTCACGCAATGACGCTTATCTGTTATTGGATAAGATAATTTGTAGAGTTTTAAAAGACGCTATGACTGACAATACCCAACTATTTGTCAGTCAACACGGCAGAATACTAGACAATAGAAATTAGAAGATTATTTAAGATATTTATTTGAAATGAAATGGCGAAATCAATCACAACTAAAGCTTCAGATTTAATGTACAATTTTAATGCAAAGGAAGTCTAGCGGGAAGTCGGGAGGAGTATGTTGTGGTGTCAAGTGCATCGAGTCCTGAGCCTATGCCCACTGTCCATAAAGAATTATGTTACATCGCAACTAACCTGTCTGATGAATGATATAGGCTGCTGTGCCATGGCGTGCGCATCTCCGATGTTAGCTCTGACTACAGTTTTGAAAGGTTTTTGTGCGCCCTGTAAAATAAAATAATAATCAACATTAATATTCAACCATAGAACAAAAATCTCGTACTAATAATTTGAACCAAATAATTAATGATCAGCGTCTGTCTCGCTCGTGAATCTCGAAATTGAGTGTATCAGGAGAGTTAAGGCCAAACACCTAGTCCATTGATAACAGACATAGATCAGGTTCCTGCAAGTATGCAACCTCACTCCGAAATTCTGTACGCTGACAGCTGACATAGGATATCAGAATACACGACTATACCGATTGATAGTCGTGGGATCCGTTAGCAGAACAAAGAACTTACAGGTCTGAAGGTTTACCACAAAATGTCAACACGAACAAGTTATACAGAAGCACACAATGTTGGCTGATGAGATACGACATAGCAGTTCCGATACTGCTGGACTTTCGTAATCAGGCCAACTGACTTGAGACAGTCCTTAACATTTCCAATTCATAAGCAAGGATACAAAAAAAGCGCTGAAACTCAGTTGCCCTCGGTACTATAACTATTTTTAAAAGACTTAATTAAAACTTCCTAAAAGCTAAGTTAGCTCTAAGTTTAACAGGTCAGCCAACTTAGAAAATGAACATGGGTCAAAAAAATATTTAAAATGTTTAGAAAAATGTACTATTCATACATTTGTACACAAAAACCGGATAGTAATAACATACGTATCCATACACAGCACGTGGCCCGACATGCACTGGACCATGTTTCATCACGTGATACGTGAAATGTTTATGACCAGCAATTTATTATTGAAATTTCACAGAGATATGGATAATTTTTATCTAGCCTAGCGTCATCGACACGAGTCCTCAAAGTGGTACGAACTTCCTCCTTTGGGTACTTAAGAAGTTCTTCAGTTGTTTGGTAATCTAATTGTTCAAGCCTATTAGTAACTTTCACCTTAACTTCACGTCTACCCATTGAAACGATATTTAGTTTCTTATTTAATTTGTTATATAAATTAACACTTATACTGTGTGTTTGTCTTCTCGCGAAATAGGTTCTGCAAGCCACACGAGGGCATACAGATGTTGACCTGCGTCTGTTTGGGTCTGGGAGTGATACATCTCGGTGTTTTCCGAGGACAGCTTTCAAGATGAATAGCTGTCGAACTGAGAGGACCTTGCAGTTTGCATATAAGCTCATGGTAGGGTATCTGTAGGGTTTCCTGGTCATTGTCTTTAGCACCGGTAGCAAGGTGTGTTCTGGCTGCTCCACTCCAGACTGTGATGTAATATTGTATCACAGACTGGCATACAGTCAAATAGTTAGATAGTTAGTTTATCGTGCAGTAAGGATTTGAAAAAATAAATCAATCGCCTTACTCTTGCTGTGAGTAAGTCTATTTGCTTGTTCCATTTCAGCCTGTGGTCGATTTGAACACCCAAATATTTAACATCTTCGACCCTATGTATACGACTACCTAGAACTTATCTAGGCAGTCGTATACATTGCGTCATGTACAAGTGTGGGCCTGAATAGAGAACTTCTTAACAGGGTCAGTAATTTTGCTGAGCGAAAAAGCTATGTAGTTGGTCTTTCTTAGATTCATTGTTAAGAGGTTATTCGATAGCCAGCTCATAACTCTGGATAATGAGTGTTCGGCTTCGCACCATTACAATTTGCCAGTTAGGACCCCAGACAAGGATAGCGGTATCATCTGCATAGGTAAAGATTTTTGTATTGGGTAATGAGATTATTGATATATAACTGAAATAGGGTAGGTCCCAAAACACTACCCTGGGGCACAACGTAACTCACAGATTCCTCGTCACTAAAGTAGCTCTCAATTTTGACTCGTTGTCTTCTATTTGTTGGTCTTTAAAAATATCATGGGTCACACCTCGTACTCCCCGCTTTTGTAGTTCTTCCAGTAGAATGGGGTCACACACCGTGTTGAATTCCTTCGAGAGGTCTAGAAAGATGTATAAGCATCTGTTTTTTGCATCCAAATTGTCAACAACGGTATTGGTCAAATCTGTTAGGGCATCTTTTTTGGACAAACCTGATCGAAAACCATATTGATTTGGTGCTGGTATACTAAATTTTTCGAGAAACTCTTTAGTGCTCGATTAAGTATTTTCTCTAAGGTCTTAGACAAGGCTGAAAGCTAATTTTTAGTAGCTCTTTTGCGTTGTTTTTTGTTTTCAGGGTTGACGAAATGTCTCTTATGGCTTTCCACAGGTCATTTGATCATTACCAGCACTTAGGATTAGTTAAAAGCAAGCTTCAGTTTACGAAGGAGGTTGTTACAAAAATTGCGATATCGCGTATATGTTAGCTTTAAGATCATATTATCGCGTGATTTATTGGATTTTGAGTGGAGTCTATCGCGGTTCTAATGCATCTCAAGAGATCGTGTGACATCCAAGGTTTAGAACTCGTTTGCTTCTGGAGACTGTGGATCTCCTAGTGTGTTTGGTACTTGTGTTTGAGAGTAGCCTAACAAGTATATTAGATGCAACATTTGTATCCGTAACTGATAAAATTCCAGAGAAGTTGGTGTTTTCCAAATCCCTTTTGATTTTATCATCACTCGTTCTTGTTCTAGTCATAAAATATTGAGTGTGAAAAATGTGCCTTTCAAAGGCTTAACAATATGGGCATATGGTCGGTTATATTGGTTTCCGGGATTAGTGTTGTAGATAGATAATCTGTTTTTAGAAAAAAGTGGTCGAGGCTCGAACTTGCTCTAGTAGGTTGCGAATGCGAGAGAAAAAGGCCATGAGAGGCATTAAGTGTTAGGTATTTTTCACGAAATAGATGAGTTAAGGTCAAAATACAGTCAAAATACAGGGGTGTCAAAATAATGTTATGAGTTGTTGTTTATATTAGCGTATAAGGTAGCGTAAGACTATTAATAAAGTTGTTAAATTGTTTTCTGGTAGATGAAGACGGGAATCTGTACATAGCTAGCACACTGATAATGCGATTTTTTTGGCAAACCAGACAGTTTTTAATTTTTGAATATTGTTTATATTAGTTTTATTTTTTATTATGACCGTCATTTTAGTTTTGATTAAGTGTGGTACAATGTGACGTGTATCCTTTAGGATAGGTATGTGGTTTATTTTTCGAATCCAGCATTCAGTAAGTATTCTTATATCTAAATTAATGTTTATTTCGGTAATTAGTAGTAATTCACGGTATATCAATAGTGATTCATCAAAATACGGATCAACCAATTGAAGCCTGCAACACGATTACATTGCAATGACGTCTGCGAGTTTATTTAGGGATTCGCGATGCGATTCGATATATAGAATGTTTTGATGTGATTGTATTTGATGAGTAACTCCTTCTTCTTGGACACAGGAATAACACAACAGGTCGTATCGGTCCGGTAATACCGCAGACGATAACCCGTTGCACAGATTGGTTGTGCGGGGCAAAAAGTGTCTCGAAAAGCGCACAGTAGTGGAGCGCTAACTATCCAGGTAATGAGGATGAAAGTTTTGCCGTGTGGAACGATGGCGGAAATCTGCGGCTGGTCCGAACAATTCCTCAGAGCACTCTCCATGATATATGTGATAGAGAATGCAGAGTGAAGCCACATCTCTACGTAACGCCAAGGGATCGAGCCGATCGGAAATGTTGGGCTATCGACGATTCGAGTCGCTCTTCGTTGGATGCGGTCCAGAGGGAGAAGCTGGTACTGAGGTGCCCCTGCATAGAGATGAGAACAGTATTCCATATGCGTCCGGACTTGCGCCTTATAGAACTGAAGGCGGTGGGCCAGAGTGAAATACAGCCTCGATCTGTTCAGGACACCGAGCTTTTGCGAGGCCAATTTGACCTTACCCTCTAAGTGACCCCGAAACTGGACTTCGCTCGGTATGTCGATGCCTAGGATTCCGATGCTGGCTGAGGCAGTTAGGGAGGTGTAAAGTAATAGTAAAGTATTAAAAAAACTTGCAGATTACCCATTAGGTTTTCGGTTACAATACGATATAATCACATTATAGTCAACGTTGGATGTTTAATAATTTACTACGAAAATACCTTTTATGACAGTTGTGAGATCGAAGGTTGATCGGGACTGAATTGAGACCGAACTTTTATAACGAGAATTGGCCTTCTGGCTTTGTTTCAGTTTGAAAGTTTGAGTTTGAGTTTCAACCTGTAGGATATTTAAACTATTTTAACCACATTTTTATAGCACCGGTAACTATGATTATATTGTTCATTCATTTCTTTATTTTTGTCTTTTAAACAGTTCGATAAATAGTCAATTAGTGATGACCAGATACGTGTGGTCCGTTTGAAAATAACTCATTGAAAACTAAATTACTATCGATAAAAAAGTCAAGATAATTTTATCTCAAAATACTCAACTTATTCACGTTTAATAAATACATAATCAAAAGTCTAAGGAAATATAATATTGTGTTCTCTTTTTTCATCATCATCAGTTTGAGATCGAGTTAACAAAATTAGCATTTAACAGTAACAGTCTCTTATAAGAAAACTGTTAGTAATTATGATGCCATATTATTATGTCGATACAACAAAATTTATTTCAATGGACAACAAACTAACTGTAGTTGTGTTCAAGCCAAGAACTTATCCGAAAACGATTTTTAACAAGGTTTTCTTGTGAATAGCTATTACTTATAATATGATTAATATGTTATGAATTATGACGAATGATTAATCATAAGACATTGCACAGTCTACGTTATACACTTGCAGTACTAAGACGGACGTAGTGCTTTAGGCATTCTCTGACCGTCGTGTGATGCAAAGAAAACAGGAAGTAGGTGCATTTCAGACATATTTTTTTTACATATTGATACTATCAACTAATCGATACTTCAATAACAATATAATATACATAAACAAGTCGCATTTAATGTGTAATTTCGGACATGTTTGGTCATACCATTGATCATCATATCCAATATTCTCTTCTCACGAAATCGTGCCCATGGATTGCGAGAAAAGAAAAGACGCAAACATTAAAAACTAAACGATACGCAACCTACACCGGTT